AAAAGCTTGACTTCCTGGGGTGAACTGTATATCAGTTTGGTGCTCTAAAAATTTTTTTCACTTTTGCAGCTAGTTCCTAGACTGTTAGGCAAGTTTAAAATCTGAATCTCCTGTTTACTTGCTGAAAGTTCATGCTTTCCTGTCCTTCCATTGGATAATTACATTTCTTCCTACAGTTTATAAAGAATAGTTATATACTTTATGGTAACCGCAAATCTTTGAGATATTTTGTCTATATGATCTTGCCTATGTGTTTTGTATTTGTGAGTTTAACAAATTCTGGCCAACAGCGTGCCTCATGCCGTAACCTGTATATATGCTATGCTTTCCTGCCCAAGAACACACTTAGGTGGTAGGATTCCAATTTCTTCTAAATTTCATTGGTAGTCTAGAAACCATTTTCTGATTTCCTGAGGAAACGATAGTATATAGTAGGATTCCATTTAGATAAACCAACTTAGAATTACTGTAAAATCAATAAATAAATCTAGAAATAGCTCCCACTCATACCAATTAGTTGAAGTCATTTACTGTTTTGATGACTAAAAAACCTGTATTATGAGAAAGGTCCACCTGTGGAACATAAACCACAGGACAAAATTCTGTAGACCTACTAATGAATAGCCAGTATTGAACGAAGTAACTAACAGGATGAACTGACTGAAGAAGTCTGTTAAATGGATTTCAGTTCTGATATCTGGAGAAATCTTTGGATGTTGGACATAAGTACCCATTCTAAGAGTTCTGTTGCCTTTTAACACAAAGCAGAGAACAGGGTGTTGTTCTCTTACAGATTCCACGAACAGCATCACTGGCAGGCTGAGGCAAGTGTCTATTCCTCTCTGGTTTGATACAGACATTGCAGACAGCCCTGATGAGGATGCAGGTGTGTATACTGGGAAGACTGGTGTACAACAGCATGTTCTAACAGTTTGAGGTAAATCTTCACTACGTTGCTGGGTTTCCTTGGACGTTTGAGTTTAATGTGAATGTGTACTGGAATTTCTGTGAAGAAAATGCCTCAGAGCTCTTGGATTGAAAAAGACTGCTGAAGAGAAGATATCGTACATAGTACTTTTTAATGACCCATGCGTCTCAGGCTGTCTGGTGCTTGTTAATCTGTCTGTTCATCAGGAATTAATTTCAAGGCTTTAAGGGAGAAAGCAACAAGAAGCATGACTGCGGCGCAACTTCACTGAGGCTTCCTAAATCTCAGAAGGATTTTACTTCTTAGAGTGCTCTGAAATATAACATTGACAAAGATAACAACCAGGGATAAGCAAATTCAAAGAAACCAATCTATTTAGCAGTTGCTGGAGATAAAGGAACTGCAGCTGGATCCTAAGGAATTACGCCATGCTCCTGCCTGGCAGGAAATATAGGAATCTTGGAAACTGCAAAATTTCAATGGATCTCAGGAACTAAGGAAACTAAAGTTACAGTTCTAAGGGTTAGGTGGCCAATTTAAATACTTCGGTTCTGAATTTATTACAGACACTGAAAATTCTTCATGGCTCATGGTTTAGCATGGATTCCTCTCCTTTCAGAGCACCAAGATATATATCAGCCAGAAGGAGGACATATATTAGTAAGAATGATAAGATGCATGGGATAGAGAGATTTAAAGATGCCAACAAAGACTGGGTATTCAGCTACTTCCCAGAGAAAAGGAAGTCTGAAGCACCATACTAAGTTGGCTATTTCACATGTAAGCAGGGAAGACTTTCTCGGTGCTGGTCCTGTTTTACTACTTGCCATTAGTATCCGTGATCCCCACAATGACGCACTTAGGGTGTTTTTTAGGAAAAAACTAAATCTGAACCAATAAGTACTGATAGGAAAGAATACTCCAATCATCAAAAAGACATATAGCTTCCACCAAGCCAAATACATTTAGAATGCTTCTCCTGTGCAGATTTAACCCATCATAGGATATATGAATTTTGAGTCTCAAGATTTTAACTCCATCATGACACAGAAAAAGCATTTTAACTCTAGGCAGATAGTTGTTGTCTTAACAGTAAATTAACAAACAGTGTCAATGAAGAAGATAATTTGTAATAAAAAATACTTAATATTTAATCAGAAAAAAACTTGAAACTGAAACCCCAGAAACTAAAACAGAGCAAAAATTTTTGTGGTGTGAAGTTCTAAGGCATGAATCAGAACCGCAGAATTAAATTTCTTGTCACAATAGCAAACTTGTAGATCTTAGGGCTACAACATACTCTTGGATATTAAGGTTGCACACATACCCTGCATATACTCTTGTTCCTCCACCCATGAACAGGTTTCAGCCTTAAGAAAAACAAATAAAACATTCCAAATCTGCTACAGAATGCATAGGTGTGCCACAAGCAGAATCAGGTAAACACCTGAGGGCGAGCAGGCCTATCCACTATTCCTTAGGGGGCATATCAAGATAGATAGCTCTCTGCCACACTGAAAGAAAATGGAGATTCTTTTCTATCAAAGGATTTCATCATATTTAGGATACGGTTTACATTATGGAAGAACTTTTGGCAATATGCATGAAGAAAATGTGTTTTATTCATCTTGATTACTGTCAGCGATTTTTCCATTATGGAAACAATAGTTTATAGGTATTCAGGCATCCAAAGCTTTGAAATAGCTTTGAGAGCAAACAGCAACTGACTTTGCTGAATGCAAAATCGTCATACAAACCACTTGATAGTTATTATTCCAAGAAGCACATCGCCTCTGTCTTTGCCTGCATAGACTACAAAGTGCGTGAAAGTACTGAAAGAGCCTAAGAAGTTGCGGGGGGGGCAGGGATGCAAATTTATTCAAACCTTTTCGAATCAGTGAAAAAGCGCTTGGGCTAATCCTAGAGATATGCTTGTTGTTCTAAACTGTTGCAAATGTCCTCTTAAGATAATAATAAGAATTTAATTTTTAATTTAGATAGCATTACACACATTAAAATGCCACGCAAAATTATCAGTAGTCTGTATACCCTATGCAATTTCAGCTGTGTTCAAATTAAACCAGGTGGGACTTGCTGAAATGAATATTTTGGGGCCATAACAGGGTACTGTTAAGCACTTGCTTTCAGTGATAAACTGTTCTTCCTTTGTTTGGACATCATATATGCCCAGTTTTTAGTATTTGATCTGAAAAACAAGAAGAATCAATTCCTAACACAAAAAAAGTAATTTCATGCCCAAGTAAATTTTTCCAACAGCACATAAGATTGGGATGACAACACTCTAACACTTTACTAAGAATTAGTCATCATGTCTTAGCAAAACATAATATAATAAACCTATTTTTCTAACATTTTTGATCATCTTTTTTCTTTTTAACATTATGCACTTTAGGTTGCCACTTTTATATCAGATATTATTGGGTTTTTTTCCTTCCAGATGCTTATAGGTTAGGAAAGGATTTTATTTTTTTTGATTCCTCTCCTGGGAAAAGAATCTACCAGCTTGTTAGTTTCCTCAGTACTCCCTATATAACAAAAAGTGGCATATATGGAAGGCCTCATTTTATTTTCTTAGCTCTACTGCAAAGGTGCTGTGAGCACCTGCAACTTCTGTTAATTTCCTTGGGTACTGCAGGTGTTCAGCAGCTCTGAGGATTGAACGTACTGGGACCAAGCAAATGTGAGAAGCTTATACTGGGTCCAGGGAGCTAGTAAGGATTGTGAGTCCTAAGATAGACAGCAGTCAATTTACACTACCAAAAAAAAGTATTTCTTCCAAGTGAACACATCAAGAATGATGTGACTTGTTAGAAAAATACCTTACTTCTCTCTTTTTGATTGGCCGTGTTCACAAGCTCTCATTATATTTTGCAGACTGAAACAGAGTAAGATTTCTTCCTACTCACATCTGAATCTCAGTCTGGTTCCCATGACTATTACTGTCACTATTCAATTAATATAAAAATATTTTCTGTTATGCTCATCTTCTGCCCACCAAAGTTGCATCCTCCTTTTTTTTTATTTTAATGCTGCACTTCATTATTTATTTGTTGTCCTTTTTTTCTGTGCACTGGTAGTTAATTATGTTTTATATATGCTGGAAAATTCTAATAAAAGCACTAGTACTTAGAATAGAAACTTTTCTCTTTTTTAATTGATGGAAAATCTGCAAGTTTAATTAGGCAACCCATTGAGATAAATACATCAACAAATAAATTTCCCACTCATGAATGCAGTACTGCCAATGAGAAACTGCCTAGGGAAGTTTCAATTCACTTGGGTACCAAAGTATTTATACCCAACACATTTGGGCCAGATAATAGCTTTCTGATAAAACCCAAGGATTACAGAGTGAACTCCAGCAGGGCAGCTGATTCTTAAGCACTGGGAAATCTCCCCACAGGATTAGAGCACAGACATTTTTTTTCTTTCAGAGTGACAGGCGAACAAGTGCATGCCAGGAACATGCCTGAAGGAAGAAGGGGTTAACACGAAACTGCTCTTTGCAGGTAGTTACGATTTAGGCTCTTCTAGGTTGCTCTATAAATAAACTGGCCCTGATGACCTGGAGAACAGGGAAGTATAAAGATCCTATTTAGTGTACGAACCTCTTGTTCACAGTGCAGGCTGTTTTTCTGTTTATACCATGCACCATCTGAATCCAGAAAAGAAAAAGGCGAGGCTAGTCCGAGACTGCTGATGCCAGCCACCGGCAAAAATTGAGAAGGTGTGATCTTGTGATTAGACATAGCAAGAGAAGGAGTATTGATACATAGTATAATTCCTTAAAAGAAGAAACATAAAAATGATTTTAAAATAATAATCACATAATACGGGTCATAACTTTTATAATAAAGCCAGATGTTCAACATTGTTTAATAACTGACATAAGGAAGCAATGATATTTATAAAGGAGATATTTATTTCCCATGGTTCAAAGAGGCACTGCACTTTTTACTTTTGCAGCTGAAAAGCAGTCAGTCCACTTGAGGAATCAATTCAAAACAGAATAAAAGTGAGGAAACAGCAGTATCAGTTCTGAGCTTTCAACCTATCTGCAATTTGCTTCCACTTAAAAACATTACTGTTTCTTCAGCGCAATAACTGCATAGCATCTGGGGGATTTCACGGGATCAAATAACTTCACAAGTCCAGACCAGGCAATGTTGTCCTGTAAAATGATATATGATTGAAGTACATAAAAATGTGTTTGACTTAAAAGCTAAGATAAGGTAATAGGTCCACATTTTGAAATACAAAATTGCAAAAAAAAAATATTAAAAATTATCCTTAATGCAAAGCAGAAAAAAACACTTGCTTAACAAGAAAATCACAGACAGTTTCTTGAGAAAAAAAAAAAAGATACGCAAAGCAGGGTGTATTTTAAAGATATTAAATTATTTCTGGCACTATCAAATGACAGCTTACTACCCCCTTCACCAATAAAGCTTTTTTTCGGTTGAACCAGAGCAAAGAAATTAAGCATCAAATCCTACTCATTTTATGCAGCACCTTCTACTACTGAAGCTAATTAACTGACTTCAAATGAATACAGCCAGCTGGATCTGGTCTTGATGTTGCATATGGCTTTTATCATTTCTATTTTTTCTTCCTATACACATTTTGTGAATCAACCAGTACAAGATTAAATCATTGCGTATATTACATTTAGAAAAGGTAAATTAGTGCTAAATGCAGCAAGTCTGATCTCCTGTCCTGGAAATCATACAAATCTCTATGTGATTTATAACTGGTTGGAATTTGGGAAAATACATCATTATTTAAATATTTCAAATTGCCTCTCTGTAAAAATACCAGTTAGAACAAAAGCATACATTTACTACAACTCAGTTGTTCCAAGTGCGCTGTGGCAGAGAATAAAGTGAATTTTTACTTATGATAAAATGGAGCTGTTAAAATGAAAGGTTTATGGTGGAAAAACAGAGCTATTCACATGAATGAGTTTAAACTTTATTTTAGAATTTTATTTTGACCGTGGCCCAGAGCAGAAACTGGAAGACGCTACCATTTCCTCCTAGCAAATTATTATTTGTCTGAAAAATGTTTACTGGTGCAGAGAAAGTATGACTGCTGCTTCTGAGTTAATCAGGCCAAGCTCAAAATTAGTGTTAGAAGAAACACTGTAATATAAATCATTATGGAGTAAATCTAGTAGCATTTTCTTATTATATCCCAGGTCTATACTTGTAAAATATATCCAGGCTGTATGTTAGTCAAATGTACCTCAGTTGACCCATACAGTTGGAAAAAGTGCACCCTCTCTCATCATCGATCTTAATTAAGAAATAATAAAAGGAAATCATAAACATTTTGGACCTAATCCAAAATTTCTTGAATTATACGTTCTAAAACATATTCATTGGAAGCTCTAGCATGTATAGCACAATGTTTGTTTAGCATTTCCAATATTCTTTTTAATTATTAAATATCTCAATATGTTGTATAAAATGAGATTTGTTGCATATTTAATTAATTTATTTTTTACTGTCTATTGACTGGTAATTACTATACAATTAAAAGAACATAAACTTTACTGTTGCTGCTTTGCTGAAAATAAAAACATCTGCTGGGCACATGTTTATACTAAATGGGATGAATGCTTACACTTTCGCAAATATGATGAGAATAATAATTCTACAACAGAGACTTTTCATCTGCACAGTAATAAATTGGCTGCAATAGTCTCATTTCACTGATGTAGCCTTTAGGTATCATAAAATATAATGCAAAAATACCTGCTCCTTGAGGTAACAAAGACGATCCAGAAGTATCAAAACTTCTATGCAGGGAGCCAGAACAACCTTCAGCTGAAAGAAAGATTAGACACTATAATGATTTTGGGGAACAGAGCCAATACACTTCCGAATGGTTACACTTCCACAGAAAAATTCCAGGAAGTTCAGTCATTTTCTAGTGGTTCTGTTGTACAAGTGTCATCTTGCCAATTTTCCCTGTGGGGTGGACATCTTCAAAACAGATTATATTAAAGATCAAAAATACATGGAATGCCATAAAGCCAGGGAATGGTGTTATTTAGTTGGTTTCAAGACATTGTCCAACAAGAAAATGATATTATATGAAGTAGAACAATTTTAAAGAGGGAAATAATGAATTTTAATAAAAAGAATTTTTATGAAATAACTGCATGGAGACCAGTCTAGGTTTAAAAGGAGACTGACATTTCATTTTCCATGGTAATAGTCCCTCTTGAAAAAGAATCTTCCATGTGTTCGCTTTATTATTTTACTGACACCTAATATAGTTTTGGAATAGGATATGCTCCAAAGTTTGGAAGGGGCAGCTGCTTTGTTTTCGAGATTGCATTCCACAGCATAAGACAGTCCACCTCCACATAAAACTTAACAGAGCTTTGTTCTACACTAGCACATATATACAAGGTAATAGTATTAATCCTATAACTTTTACCATATTAAATGCTTCAAGCTCGTTCATTCTGTGCTTGTATTTTTCATAGTAATCCATTATACAGCTGTCTGTGATCTGCAAGGGATTAAAACAAAAGATATCAGAGTTATTCTAGTTACTTTTTCAAGAGAAGTTTAAAATAAAATATTTTTTCCTAATTGAAAGTCACACTACAAAATGAAACCTGTGTTTTGTTTTTGAAGTTAGCATTTTCCTAAGGTTCATAATAATATTCTAATGGCAATTTCTCGGTTCTCATTTACAATAACTGTTCTTCAGACAGTATTTTGCACTGACATGAAATAGTGAGATACATTCATTATTCAGAAAGCTCTAGCCATTATTAAATGAGTATTATACAGTAAAGTGGAGATAAAATTCTCATTTCCTTTCCCATATATCTTATCCCCTCCTCACCTCCATCCCCAAGAGATTTATTTAAATAGCTGAGGAGTGGATTCTGGTGTGAGAGTAACGTGCTTCAGTCAGGGCTCCTGGATGGTATTTCACATTACAAAATCTACTATCAGATTCTGGACATAATAATTCGTTTCTCTGTACCTCAAGTTACTCATCTTTAAAATAAAAACTTCCCTTGTTTACTTTGAACTACTACATGTTCCTCTCTTGTTTTCCCAATCAACTGATGCAACATTGCCAACACTGCCACTATGAGTGTAAATGCTGTGATTTGGGGCTGAATTTGATACAAAGGCACCTCAGGAACTCAACTAAGCCAAATACCCCTTCCCTTTTCTGCCCTTAGTGGCCACTGCACCACCGCAGGTAACTAGAGCTATAACCATAACTGCTCTTTCCAAAGCTTGTTCTCTAAGGGCAGCCAGACCATAACATTTTCCAGGTTCTAAAGGTCATGATGTCTCTACTCTTCTGCTGTCCACAGTCCTGGATGCTAAAGAAGACAGCTGAGCTGGCCACTTAAGGAACCTGTCAGAGGAGTGGGAAGTAGGTTTGCAACGTTGATGGAGGCTGCTGGAAAGAGATGAGCTGGAAGAGCCTGATGTAATTCTTCAGTACTGGGAGTTTGCAGTACAGCTACTCTATTGTGACTACGGAAAGAGTTAGTCCACAACTTAGCAGAAAAGTAACAGCACTGGCAAAAGAGTAGGAAAGCTGAAGTGCTTTAATACATTTTTGCACACTTTTATTAGAAGAGTCATTTGTGGCTAATCCAGTTGCAAAGAAGTAAATCTCAGCCTAAAGTAGGGAAACAAACTGAGAACATTTCCACAAATTATAAGTTTTCAAACCAGGGATGGATGTAGTATGAACTTCATCCTAGGACAACCAAGAAGAGAATAAAGTGACCTCAGAACTATTACGCATTGTCACTGAGAAGTTCTTAAGGATGGTGTGTCAGACAGCTAGTAGATGTATGTCTTACTATAGAGCAGTCAGTTAAAATTCAATGCACTGAAAAAAAATGGAACAAATAAAGAATTTAAAAACACTGAAAGATAAGCAGATAAGTAATAGTCAACATGAACTTGTCAAGAACAAATCACAAGTCAGTCTACTTTGCTTGTAAGGAGGGTGCAAGGATTCATGACAGTGAAAAACAACTGGTTGTCATATGTTTTGATTTCAGCAAGATTTTTTACACCATCTCATGTAACAATTTCATAAGCAAATTTAAGAAACGAGGTTTAGATTACAGTATTATAAAGCAAGTGAAAACTGTTTGAATGACCATAACCAGAGAGTAGTTATTAATGAGTCTTTGAACAACTGAAAAGACTTGCTGGCTGGAGGTCCATTACAAAATGCAATGAGTTCATTAAGAACTCAGATGACACAACAGAAACCACATTAAATAAGTCTGAAAATGTGCAACAAGAAGGCATTGCAAGAACTTAAAATAATTTTCAGAAATAGGAGCATTGCTTAGAAAAGAACTTTGAAATGCTGTACAGAAAAGCAGAAGGGACTACGCTCAGGAAGAAATAATCAGCTGTTCAGGATGGGGAACACCAAATGAAAATCTGGGAGATATAGCAGATCACAAGCTGAGCAAGTCACAGTTGTGCTACTGCAAAAAAAAGCAATCACCATTCTGTGACACGTATGGGAGAGCAGCCTGCAAAGCTCAGGAAGTAATCCTTCAACTCCGCTTGGCAGGGGCAAAGCTCTAGCTGGAATACTGCATCCATTTTTGGGCATCAGATTTCAAAGGAAGAAATGAACTGTCTGAAAAAGCCCTGAGAGAGGAAAGGGATCAGAGATCTAGAAAACATGACCTATGAAGAAAGACTGGGAGAACTGGAACTGATCAGGCTAAATTAGAGAAAATTGAGAGTGGGCATAGCAACAGTTTTTACCAAGCTCTCACGAAGAAGCCGGGAACAGTTTGTTTACTCTGTCTACAGTGGGTAAGATAAGAACTAGTGTGCTTGCACTGCAGCAAAAAAAAAATTCAGCCAAAAACTTGAAGCAGCTTTCTCTCTTTGAGGTTAATTAAGGATTGGGAAGGTTGTCAGTCTCCTTCACAGGAAGCTTTAAGAAGATTAGACAAATATTTTTCAGGAATGACACAAAATTCTAACTCTGCCTTAAAACAAGGGGATGGGTTAGAAGAACTTGTGTAGTCTTTCAGTCTTATTTTGTTAATTTAGAAAGGACTTCTTCCCACCTACAGAGGCAAGGTTGAGTCGCTGATCTGGCAGTACTAACATGGACTAACAGGACTTTTTTGGTCTTGTTGTTATTTTATTTTCAGTAAAGCTGTGCAAATATCTGAGGGTTTGTTTTTCTCCTCCCCGCTGAAGAGCCAAACCGTCTAAAATATATCAGTCATGAGATAAACAAAATAGTTTACTTAACCTCCACCCTGTAAGCGTTTCGTTTCAACTGAGAATTAAAAGGGTTTTAGTATAATGGATTTTTGAAATTACAGGCTATTTGGAATTAAAATACAAAGATCTGTATTTGTAAAAATGTGATCATGAAACCCTTCTGCTTTTGCTTCCTTTATGTTCTCCATTTTTCAACATGAAGCATTCAAATGAAAAGAAAACAAGCCGGGAAATGTCTGGGAAATAGAAAGCTGGGTCAAAAATATCTCTTGGATGTTGCCATACTCAAATACTGAGTCCACATGCTTTTCCTCTCCCTCCTCGCATACTACATATTCTGACTGAATGCATCCTGCTGGCATGGATTGATTTGGTACTCTTCCAAACTGTACCTCAATGGTCCAGCTGGAAGAGAGAGAAAGTGTCCATCGTAGAGCATGGATAGAAAAGGGCATGAAAAGGGTACCTGGTAGCTAGCTATGTGGTCAATTTATTGGAAGATGACCAAAACGCAGGTAACACTGGCTTTGTCTGAAACTGCAACAGCTTGCCACCTGCCTTCAGTTCTTAAAAGGTACCCAAAACAGTCTCAGCTATTCTTCCAAGGTGAAGCAGGAGTAAATTATTTGCATTTTCAGGATCAGAATTGTACTTACACAAGCAAAGCAAGCCCCATTTAGCCAATGGAGTTGTGCATACAACAGTTCTCTGTGTAGGGTTGCCATGGATTTGTGTATACAAAAAAGAAAATCTTTAAATCCATGCACTGAACCTTTTTCTTACATTACGATGCTGTTACTATGAATTTATGGCCTCAGTGAAAATGCATGAAAAAACCTCAATACATATATCATGCACTTGTCTTAATAATGATTCTGTGCTCAAAGACCTAACTTCTGCTACTGATATTCAAGTAAGCTTCAATACATACAGAGAGGTTTTGGCCAGTATTTCTTTGCTGATTTAGCTATAGTATCTCCTGGTCTTTTTCAGGTTGTGAACAAAAGCACCTTGTCTCTTTGCACTGTGGTGGTGGTGCATGCTTTCTTTTAAAGTAATTTCTTTGTGGATTGGTATGGTGGCTCAAACAGCTGAAGCAGCCGAAAGGAACTAGAGGGCAGCAAGGTCTCCATCAGCCTAGTTATAACTGTACCATATGCTGGAGGTGGCACTAAAACTATAGCATAGGCCAGGCTCATCTGTTGTGAAGACTAGGAGATGGTCAACAGAGCCCTGAGGGCACGGGAGATACCAGACACCTCAGCACACCCGAGTTAGACGGCAATCCCACAAATGTGCTGACAGATGAAGAAAAGAAACATTCAGGCACAAGGGTGGGTGACAATAAGTGATACCGTACTTAAAATTTCTCCAGAGATTATTCTTTCAGAGCTGTCTTTCCCCAGACTAAGAGTATTTTGACTGAATGAAAGTCTCTTCTACTGTCCAGTGCTGCACACGCCCTACAGAGGAGAGCCAGAGCTGAAGGCTGATGTTCCACGGTCTGTTTAAACAGATGTAATTCCTCTTTGCTGCCTCAAAGAGAATGCTTTCCCCTGCACTGGCTGTACATTTCCACGTTTCCCTCTCTTTTGTATCAACATTATCATGAACACTAGCAAGATTACAAGAAAGCAGCAAGGCAACCCTTTTAGCAGAACAGTGTCTTAGATCAGTTCAAAACACCTGGGAGACCATACCATAACAGCAACTTTTTACAATTTTCCCATGACTAAGGTAGTTAAAAATAATGTAATGCAATGCAATGTAATGTAATGTAGTGTAAAATAATGTAAAACAGATAATGTAATTAGTGAGAAACAAGTTTATGTAGAAATTTGTTTAAAATGCATTTCAAACAAATACAATCTATATTATTTAGAATTATATCTAATTGAAGTGAAAGTCACATCTCTTAAGATTCCATGTCAAAGGAAAACATTATGCTACCATCACTGAGGTAGTTTTTTGCCTGTTTGAAAAACAATTATACTTGAAAACAGCATTATGCACATATACTTTATAGGCTGTAATACAAGTGTTACCTGAGCCTTCATTCAATATTTCCCTAACAACTGAACCAGGAAATCTGTGAGCTGAAATTCCTTTCTGTCCAAGAAAACAGTTGAGAAAGTCAACTTTTCAACAATTGTAAAATGCATTAAGTGTGTAAATTCATTTAGTGCCTTCCTTTTTTGACTGTTTAGACTCAGTTAATTGGCATGTTAGAATTCATGGGAAAATAGCAAGTATTGTTTTGGA